TCTCTGAGGAATGCTTCCAGCACCTTGTTGAATCTATGCCACGAAGAATTGAGGCAGTTCTGAAGGCAAAAGGGGGTCCAACCCATTACTAGCGTGGTGCCTAATAAAGTGGCCGGTGAGTGTATGCCTGCGAACCAGCGTAGCAATGATAGCTTGTTAGCTTGTCAGTCGGCGTAGACATAATGAACGTGGCTAATGTGGATGGCAACAGACGGTTTTTAAGCGTTTGAACACATCAGTCTGTGGGGGTTCAAAATCATACAATAAATGGGGCCCTTTTTAGGTAGTGACAACTGTGTGACAACATCTGTGAGTGGGCATAGCTAGTTTTGGGTTTTGTTTTCTTTCTGTTATTTTACAGTAACCAAGCCAGGGAATTGTACAAACAGCAGGGGGTACTGAGGTGGACTGCTGCTAGAGTAGTCTACATCAGGGACATTACCTGCTGGGCATTGCGCCAGATTTCCTGTGTTGGGGTTACGTGTATACATTAATAAATATGTCTGATAAATTTGTAGAGTATTTGCATAATTTCCAAGAAGGCTCTCTGGGTGTGGTATTGTATCGGACTTTCCAGATTTACCTTGAAGATGTTGAATCCAAACATGTGAGGACGGAAAAAGATGTTTTTGTGCAGATGTGCAGAGGGTTATTAGGTGATGGTGATTTTTCGCAGTTTGACCTAGCAGCACCCACGCCTGCAGCCGTTGATAGAATTGTTTGTAAATTAGAACGTTCTTGGCAACGTTAGCGAATGCTGATAAACAGATAACTTTTTTGGTGAGGAGGAAGACTTGGAGGAGGGCACGAGTAAAACTTCATCACGCCGAACAAGGACAATGATAGTGAAAGATAAATGGCCAGAAGATGTAGCATATGCAGTGGTTAAGGGGTTGCTGGGATTCTGCCCGCAGAGAGATGAACATGGTGTAAGAGCTGCAATGAGTAAGTTTGCAGATCCACAAAGTCTCAACAGAAAGGAGGGTTCACAGGATGAAGTGGCAGGCAGAGAGGCCTCAGAATGGTGGGATGATGGGCCACTGCCACCTAGTGGAGGCTTGCAGGGAGATGTGCAGATGCATGGAATGAGGCCAGATTCTACAGTTCAGGCAAGGGCGTAACTTTAGGTCTAACATTGGGGGGGTTGTGGTCTCTGTCCATTTATTTATTGAATAAATTACTTTTGTAAAACAATTCAGGATATTTAGGGTTAAAATATATTGGGATGCTTTTACTGTGATTTACTTAACTTTCCTGTTTTCTCTGTATTTATTCTGCTCCTTTTCTGTTCCACATTAGTTCAACAAGTAAGAAAAAAACTTACTATTTTTCTGCATTTATTTTCCAGCAGTAACACACATTTTACATGTTTAAGATTTAACATACCTTAATTTCACAAAATTCAAAGAGTGTGTATTTACATGGTTCACCAC